TCGTATAGAATTGGAAAAGTATCTTTCTGAGCATGCTGAACACTTTATAGACAGTATTGGGAGAAATGCTTGGACTTCAATGTTTGAAACTAAGATTTTGCCTGAAGTATATTACGCTTACATTCTTCAAATTTTACAGAATCTCTTATGAAACTGTTTTTTTAAAATTTTTTTTCGTCTTTAGGTTAAAGCCAAATGTCACAGCAAACAGAACGATATAGCGGCAGCTATTAGACATGCTTTGTTTACTGTTTTTAGTAAAGAGCGACTGAATTATGTTGATTGTAATACACCTTTTACAAAACTCGCAGAATAGAAGGCAAGTGCGAAAACTAAGGCTGCCTATAAAGATCTCTTTAAAGATCAACAACTTCTTTTAAAGATTGGATACATTGTTTTTAAATACTATAAAGATGAAGAGCTTCCTACAATGCATTGCACCTTTATACTTTCAATATGTGATATTCTTTTAAATCTCAAGAGTTTAAGCATCAAATGTAATAATAAATCTGTTGTGAGACATGTGGACGCTTTTTTGGTAAATATTTTTTTTTTCACTTAAAGTATTTTAGTTTTTTTGGCATTTTTGATGATTTTGTTTTTTATTTATTTATTTAATAGCGAGCTTTCGAAAATAAAAACCCCATTACGCCCCAAATTACATTGGCGATTGCTGAAGCTGAAGCTAAAGAACATGAAGAGGCAAAACAAAAGAAGCAAAAAAGTAATAACAAACACGAATCATTTTCAAGTGTAGGAAGTGAAGACCTTAGCGACCTTGACGATGATTATAATAATCTAGTAAAAATTTTTTTATTAGTTTTCTTTTGAACTTTAATTTTTATTTTTATTTAGTTATTTATTTATTTTTTAGATGGACAATTTTGATTCTCAATTTTTACTTGATAGTTATATTTCTCATAGAAATCTATATTAGGTTTTTTTTTTAATTCATAAACTTGTAATCAAGTTTAATAGTACAGATAGATTGACAAGCTCAATCCTTTAAAGTGAAAAATAATAGAAGATATTTTCAAATTCAACAGGAAAAAAAAAGCAAATATTCTTAAAAAAAAAAAAAAAAAAAAAAAATAGTAAGGTTAGACCACACAAATTTACTGTCTTGGTTTTCATAACATGAAACTTTTAAACAGATCTGGCCGGCTTTTTTTTTTTTTAAATTTCATATTTAAAAATTTCTTTAACAACGCACCCGTTTATTAAAATATATAAATAATTTTTTTTACAAGTTTTCAAATTTTGACCCAGCCGGGTTATGAAAACCAATGAATTAATTTTGCATAACCTTATCTTTCGTGTTTTTACTACCCATCAATTTGAAACTTTTTCCTATTTTTTGTGAAAATCCTGCCTAATCTATTTTTTGCTATTGAATATAGATAAGCATATTAAGTAACTTTGATTCTTTTGTACTCTAATAATGTTGGTTGAATCTAACAACTTTTATTACAATTCACTCAGTAAAACTGTATATGAAAATAAATATACAAAATATCCATCACTGGGCTTTTAGAGTTCAGATAGTCGAACAAAAAAAAAAAATCAAAAAGTAACATTCTAGGAAAACTATACGTGTTGTAAGTACTGTATACTTAATGTATATTTGGCATAAATATTTTAAATAGACTATTATACTAATCTTACAATATATAATTTTTTGGATATTATTTTTTTCAAAAATAGACAATGTGCATCTAGAGCTTCGATCCTAATTTTCGAATCCAATTCGGATTCATTGTAATACATTCAATTAAAATTCGTATAGGGACAATCCGGATTCAATTCAAATTAAAAATAAAACTGTATCTTAAACCTCGAAATCTCAATTTTTTTACTACTGCTGTGCAATATAATAATTTTGGCGATTATAATTACTTGTGGGCTTTGTACGATTAATTTTGTATAACCACATGTATTTCGCATATTAATTGTTTATTCACAATAACTATTAGCATAATTTAATTTGTGATTCCATCTTTTTAACTTGAAATCGCATATTTTTTAATGATCATATGAGTGAAATAATGAAACAAATCAATCTCCAGTAATTCTCCTTTAAATGCATACAAAATTGATAAATAATCTACAGTCAGAAAACCTCTCTAAGCACTCTTATCTTGGATCATTATCTTGCCGGTTAGAGTTTTAACAAAGATTTGCATTTCTTCATGAAAATGCATACGGATATGGATAGATCTATCTCAATATCGCTCAACTTACTTAACATTGACCAATCAGAATCATCACATGATATACTTTTTTATGATATCGAACTCAACTTTAAATAGATGGGCCCAACTTCACGTGAGCAAATTAAGATGACTAAAAAATTAAACGTAACCAATCAGAGAATTTTTACAGATTAGCCAATAAAAACAAATTTTCATAATGTTGTTTTGCATATATTGTATATATTTTTGATTCTATTTTTTTAAATCTTTCTGGCAATCTTAGATCAAAAGAAGGTTTTAGAAGGAGAAAAGGTTTTATAGAAGCATTTTGCAAGAACGCAATGCTGCCTTAGAATCTTTCTGACAATTTTAAATCAGAGAAGGAAGAACATTTACAGACACACTTTGCAAGAACACCATGTTGGCTTCTTTAATCTTATTCTTTTTTTCTTTTTTTTTAATTTATTTTTTCTATTTTAAATATTTCCGGCATTAGAACAAAAGGAAGAAAATCTTTAGCAGATTCACTTTACAAGAACAACACGTTAATTTCTTTTTAATTAGATCAGAAAAAAAAAAGCACTTGCAAGCACACTTTACATGAACACCACTTTGGCTTCTTTGAATCTTATTTTTTATTTTATTTTAAAATTTCCAGCAATCTTAGATCAAAAGAAGAAAATCATTAGCGGATTCACTTTACAAGAACATTATATTGATTTCTTTCCAGTTATATCAGAGGAAAAAAGCATTTCAAACATGCTTTACAAGAGCACCATGTTGGTTTCTTTGGATCTTTCCAGTAATTAGGAGGATAAGGTTTTACAAGTGTTTTCAAGAACACAATGTCACCTTAGAATTTTCCCGAGAAACTTATAGATTTAAAAAAAAAAAAGATATTTGGAGACGCATTTTCAAGAACACCACGTTGACTTCTTTGAATCTTTATTTATTTATTTTTTTTTTAATTTAAATCATTTTGTCAATTTTAGATCAAAAGGAGGAAAATCATTAGCAGATTCACTTTACAAGAACACAACGTTGATTTTTTCTGGCTATATTAGAAAGAAAGGCATTTGCAGACACACTTTACAAGACCTCTTTGGCTTCTTTAAATTTATTATTATTATTATTATTATTATTATTATTATTATTTTATTTTTTTTTAATTTTATTTTTTTTTTAATTTATTTTTTTTTAATTTTATTACTTTTTATTTTTTTTTTATTTTAAATATTAGAAGGAAAGCATTTTACAAGAACACCATGTTAACTTTTTTCCGTTAATTTTAGAATGAAGAAAGGGTTTACAGAAACGTTTTGCAAAGTCACAATACTTTAGAATCTTTCTGAAATAAGTTTAGATTAGGGAAGCAAGATATTTGCAGACACTTTGCAAGAACACCACATTGTCTTCTTTGAATCTTATTTATTTATTTTTTTTGATTTATTTTTTTCTATTTTATTTTAAATATTTCTGGCAATCTTAGATTAAAAGGAGGAAAATCCTTAGCAGATTCACTTTACAAGAACACTATGCTGATTCCTTTCTAATTATATCAAAAGAAAGAAAAGCTTTTGCAAACACATTTTTTATGATCATTTTGGCTTTAAACCTTTTTATTTATTTAATTTTATTTGAAATCTTTTCAGCAATCTTAGATCAAAAAAAGGAAAATGATTAGCAGATTCACTTTACAAGAACACCACGTTGATTTCTTTCTGGTTAGATTAAGAAAGAAAAGCATTTACAGATATACTTTACAAGAACACCACTTTTTGAGCCTTTTATTTTATTTTATTTTTAATCTTTCTGGCAATCTTAGATCAAAAGGAGGAAAATCGTTAGCAGATTTACATTACAAAAACAACAAAAACACTATGTTGGTTTCTTTCTGGTTATATTAGAAGAAAGAAAAGAAAGAAAGCATTTTATATACACTTTACAAGAACATCACGTCTCCTTTTAGGAGAAAAAGCATTTACAGACGTAGGGTTGTTTCATTGTCACATGATTTTCTGACATTATTGGCCAATTAAAAATCAGGATCTGATGCAACTTAAAAAAAAAAATTAGTCATCTTAACCTTAAGCCCAAACCTAACCTTAATAGAAATGAAATTTTTTTAGCACAATGGCGTTTTTTTTCGTTTCTACGTCCTGCCTAATACACTACATTGTCTTCTTTGAAACACGTTTTTTTCCAACCCTACGCCTTGCCAAAATCATAAAAGCACCATATTAGGATTTTTCTGATATTTAAAAAAAGCTTTGAAGTACGTCTTACAAGAACATCATGCTGTCTTTAAATCAGAATGAGAAACATCGCTTGCGCTTTGCATGAACATATGTTACCTTCTCTGTAATAACCTTAGTTCAGAAAGAAAACTTTGCAGGTGCATCTTTGGGTTGTTCAGTAATATGTTGAATCTGAAGGAGAAAAAAAATCGCAGATACACTTGTAGAATAGGATTTTGGAAATGGGAACTAGTTTCATTAGTATCAGTTTTCTTTTTTTTTCAAAAAAAACTAACTTGTTTTTAACGTTTGATCTAAAGGAGAAAAAACATTTGCGGATGCACTTTAAAAAATGCTATTGAAATTAGGTTTTAAACCCCAGAAATAGTTTCATAAGTATCAGTTTTATTTTATTTTATTTTTTTTTTAATTTTTTTCAAGAAACTAACTTTTTTTTTTTGTTTCCATAGGTATTGACTTTATGGAATGCGAACTTGAAACCAATGTGGGCTTGTAATCAGTTTAATATCAATTTTCTTTTCTTGTTTTTGCGTTTTCTGAAAACTACCTTTTTTTATCTGGCCTTGACTTTACAGAATGTGAACCATGGAATGCGAATTACGGAATGCAAATCACGAAATGCAACTACGGAATGTGAACTTGGAACAATATAGATTTTCGCTTGTCACTGCTTTGGTATCGTCGTCATTTACGATGTCGTTTCGGGTAATATGTGTTGATTCTTTCAAAATTTAGGATTAGAGTAAATAGGGTAGTGTAGTTAAATTAGTATTTGCTATGTATTTATTTTTTTTTAAAAATAAAAAAATATGTATTTATGTATGTATTACATAATAGTTTCGTGATATATATTTTATTATAATAAA